GTGGAACAAGGTACACATTTGCACAAGGCATATATTTGTACGGAATTTTCCCATAGGAAAAATGAAGAGAAAGAAGGAATAACAGGTACCAAGCAAGTCTAAGACCCAGCAGAATAATTTACATTGATTCTCAAAGCTTGGAAACAACCCTGTGTTCTCTGAGACCATCTACACAGTGGCTCTATGCTCCAGACTCCATGTGGTAATCATGCTCTGGGGATTCAAGTTAGGGACCCTTCAGCCTAGGCTTCAGCTCTGCTTTCCAGGCTCCTTGGATTTGGAGAGCCCTAATTTTTCAGTCCATCTGAGATGTAACTTTACTTGCTCAGCCTTGCCAGGCCCCATTTTTTGGCCCCTTGGTCATGGCAGGCCCTTCCCCTCAATTTTGGGCAGTGTTCCCATCCTCTTGGCCAAACTGAATGGCTGCCTGCACTCCAGAATCAAGTTGGTGAAGGTCACATTGAAACCCAGGAGACCCTGTCTCTATCCTTTGACAGCTCAGAGGCTGTGACCCTCCTTATTGATACCTCAGATGCCCTGGCATCACCCTTTGAGACCCCAAAGACTGTGGCTCCACTGTTTAAGACCAGGGCAACTCTACTTCTCATTCCTTCCAACAGTTCTGTTAATCTTAGGGATGGTACAGTTTTTGTGTGTTTTTAAATCATTTTATTGGGGGCTCCTAAAACTCCTATCACAATCCATACATACATCCATTGTGTCAAGCATATTTGTACATTTGTTGCCATCATCATTCTCAAAACAATTGTTTTCTGCTTGAGCCCTTGTTATTAGCACCTCATTTCCCCCCCTCCCTCCCTGCCTCCCCTTCCTCGTGAACCCTTGATAATTTATAAATTATTATTTTGTCATGTATTACACAGTCCAACGTCTCCCTCTACCCATTTTTCTGTTGTCCATCCCCCAGGGAGAAGGTTATATGTAGAGCCATGTAATTGGTTCCCCTTTTCTACCCCACCTTCCCTCCACCCACTCGGTATCGCCACTCTCAACACTGATCCTGATAGATTCATCTGTCCTGTATTCCCTGTGTTTCCTGCTCCTATCTGTACCATTGTACATTCTCTGATCTAGCCGGATTTTTAAAGTAGGATTGGGATCATGAAAGTAGTGGGGGGTGGGAGGGGAGGCGGAGGAAGCATTTAGGAACTAGAGGAAAGTAGTATGTGTCTTCGTTGCTACACTGCGCGCCCTGACTGGCTCATTTCCTCCTCGTGACCCTTCTGTAAGGGTATGCCCAGTTGCCTACAAATGGGTCTTGGGTCCCCAGTGTGTACTCCCCCTCATTCACAATGACACGATTTTTTGTTCTTTGATGCCTGATCCCTGATCCCTTCAACACCTCGTGATCACACAGGCTGGTGTGCTTCTTCCAT